GTCACAAGGGTATAAGGTTATAAGATCACACAGTGAGATTTCTTGCTATTGAGTTGAAATGTGATTTTGAGATTTGACCGATAAAGCATTAAGATTTTAATTTTTTTAAAACTTTTGGGATTTCGAAATAGAATATTGGGTTTGAGGGTTTATGATTAAAATTGAGTGGAATAGATAAGTTTCGGTCACAAGATCATTTAGAATAGTCATATATGTCACAATATCATATGGGTCGATGTTTGAATGTATGGATGACATAGTCACACAGTCACACGGTCACATGATCACATGGTCACACGATTATATGATCACATCACATAGTGTTATAGTTACACGATCATAGTGTCACATGATGATATCTGGTTAATATTCCTGACATATGTTATTTTATTTTGTAGCACATGGAAGAGACGATGTATGAACTTCATACTCGCATTATAAAGTATCACATGATCTATATAGGATGCAACTACTTTGCGTGTGATACCATGTTCATAGAGATGATCAACGCATGACTAGAATTAGGAGACATAACAACAAAGATTTTCGAAGACGAAAGCGTAAACTTTTAATTTATTTATCATATGTCTACTTTTGTACTATTTTTAACATTAAAATATTATTTATGCGATTTTTTTGTTTCAAAGTAATCATTATAAATGCTTTCCATTATGTTTTATAGTGTTTTATGAGTATTTTGAACAAATTTGGTGTCTTTGTTTAATAAACATCTCACAATGTTTTGTAATTTCCTCATACACAACATTTTGGTTTGAAAATGTTGTAGGTGAAAATTTGAGGTTAAAAATTGAGAGGAAAAAAATATAGGGTTAAAAGAGAAATTATATAGAGTTGAATATTCAAATTGGGCCCCACATTAAAAGCAAAATATAAATAATGATTGTGGGCCCCACGAAACATGAAAAGCTGGTGAAATTCTGACTAGTTCTCCGTGTGGACCCCACAACATATTTCGGTCACAATGGGTCACAGTCGGTCACAACCGGTCACAACCTTCGATTCATGCGATTTTTGTTAATTTAATCACTCTATAATGTTACATATCCCTCATAAGTCTATTCTATATTATTTCAAAAACTAAAATATGGTTTTTACGATTTTTGTGTTTCAATGTTATTCTTCCAAATGTATTTCTATATGTTTCATATGGAAAGCATTTATAATGATTACTTTGAAACAAAAAAATCGCATAAATAATATTTTAATGTTAAAAATAGTACAAAAATAGACATATGATAAATAAATTAAAAGTTTACGCTTTCGTCTTCGAAAATCTTTGTTGTTATGTCTCCTAATTCTAGTCATGCGTTGATCATCTCTATGAACATGGTATCACACGCAAAGTAGTTGCATCCTATATAGATCATGTGATACTTTATAATGCGAGTATGAAGTTCATACATCGTCTCTTCCATGTGCTACAAAATAAAATAACATATGTCAGGAATATTAACCAGATATCATCATGTGACACTATGATCGTGTAACTATAACACTATGTGATGTGATCATATAATCGTGTGACCATGTGATCATGTGACCGTGTGACTGTGTGACTATGTCATCCATACATTCAAACATCGACCCATATGATATTGTGACATATATGACTATTCTAAATGATCTTGTGACCGAAACTTATCTATTCCACTCAATTTTAATCATAAACCCTCAAACCCAATATTCTATTTCGAAATCCCAAAATTTTAAAAAAATTTAAAATCTTAATGCTTTATCGGTCAAATCTCAAAATCACATTTCAACTCAATAGCAAGAAATCTCACTGTGTGATCTTATAACCTTATACCCTTGTGACCTGTGACCTTGTGACCTATGTGATCTTGTGACCGTGTGATCTTGTGACCATGTGATCTTGTGATCCGTGTGTTCTTGTGACCACGTGACCTTATAAATTATTCGATTTACTATTGTATTCATATAATTTTTACTTATAAGGAAGTACCAAATAAATGTGAACATTTCAAATTTTAATCATGTATTTATTTTATTTAGTTTAGAAATAGTTTATTAAATTATATAAAATTATATCAAATTAAAGTTTATAAAAAATAAAAATAATGGGTGAGAAATATCTAGCAAATTGGATTCTCTATAATATAAAATGACTGAACAAGAATTAGTTATCATATAAAGATAAATAGAAAGAAAAATTGAATAGGATTAAAGTAATAAGAGATAATATAGTTGAAAAAGAGAGAGCAAAAATATAAAACACTATAAAACATAATGGAAAGCATTTATAATGATTACTTTGAAACAAAAAAATCGCATAAATAATATTTTAATGTTAAAAATAGTACAAAAATAGACATATGATAAATAAATTAAAAGTTTACGCTTTCGTCTTCGAAAATCTTTGTTGTTATGTCTCCTAATTCTAGTCATGCGTTGATCATCTCTATGAACATGGTATCACACGCAAAGTAGTTGCATCCTATATAGATCATGTGATACTTTATAATGCGAGTATGAAGTTCATACATCGTCTCTTCCATGTGCTACAAAATAAAATAACATATGTCAGGAATATTAACCAGATATCATCATGTGACACTATGATCGTGTAACTATAACACTATGTGATGTGATCATATAATCGTGTGACCATGTGATCATGTGACCGTGTGACTGTGTGACTATGTCATCCATACATTCAACTCTTGAATCTTGCGAGTCTTATTTGATGGGCAAGATGACAAAGCATCCTTTCAAGGGGAAAGGACCGAGAGCGATAGAGTTATTGGATCTGATACATAGTGATGTATGCGGACCAATGAGCTGTCCAGCTAGAGGAGGTTATCTGTATTTCGTTACGTTCACTGATGATTTCAATCGATATTTTTACTTATAAGGAAGTACCAAATAAATGTGAACATTTCAAATTTTAATCATGTATTTATTTTATTTAGTTTAGAAATAGTTTATTAAATTATATAAAATTATATCAAATTAAAGTTTATAAAAAATAAAAATAATGGGTGAGAAATATCTAGCAAATTGGATTCTCTATAATATAAAATGACTGAACAAGAATTAGTTATCATATAAAGATAAATAGAAAGAAAAATTGAATAGGATTAAAGTAATAAGAGATAATATAGTTGAAAAAGAGAGAGCAAAAATATTAATGAATAATTAAATAAAATATTCATAAATAAAATATTAATAAATTAATAAATATGAAGGAAAAAATAATAAAATAAAAATGGAGAAGAGAGTTAAAAAATATAAATATTAAAGTTAAAATAAAAATATTAAAAAGAAAGCGGAAGAAGATGCAATGGAATTAAAAGAAAGGAAAAATATTAATAAAATATTATATTAAATGAAGGATAATTGAGTCTTTATATTTTTATTTGGGGTTATATTTGTCTTTTGTAGTGTGAACACAATTTTTTTTTTTAATTTTTTGTTTGGAGGGTAGGAGTAGAAGTGGTTGTAGGGAAGGAGAGGTATTTTAGATATATTGCCCAACCAGGGTTAGTCAGGACAAACAATTCCTAATGTAGGGACATGAATTCATCTCTAGCTTTGCTCACAGGCAGAGCTACAGCTACTGGGATGTCTTGTTCTTGGATATGTCCTCAAGCAAGAGTCTTGTTTCAGCAGCGAAATCAAGTGGGGCAACGCTTTTCACAGTTATCCTCTGCCTCTTCTCGCTGTTGTATTCGTGTTGAGAAACACTAACCCGGAAGACATGAGATGCCCAGGTTGCCCCCTTCAGTTTTGTCTGAAACTCGTTAGCTTCCCCTTCCTAAAAAAAAGAGGAACACAAAGCATCAAACTTTAGAGCCATATCAGAAATCAGAACCCAGAAACGTTATCAGCTCTTTTTTTTTTACCTCAGATTTCAGTTTGTTGAGCTCCTCGGCTGAACAGCCAATAATCTTCTCTGCTTCTTCATTGAATGTAGACAACCAACCTTCACCAGTTGAATCAGTAGCTTTCATGACCATGATGTATCTGATGATATACCCAAAGAACAAAAAAGATAAGCTTACAGCAAGTCACACGAGATCCAATAATTACTTCTGATTGGATTTGTGGATATGGAGGTTCATCTCACTCACCTTAAGTTGCATCCTTCATAATTTTTCTGACAACCTTCACACCAGTAGCCAGAGCCAAATGCCTCTGTTACTTTCTTGTTGCAGGTCTTGCAAGCACTGTACCACATCGTCTGGTCCGGCTTGATAAAGCTTGTGTAAGCTCTAATGCTGAAAAACACAGGCTGTGACAGTAACCCAAAGGGTTCATAGTTAGTTCTCTATTCAAAAACAAAGAGCTCCCTGGTAAGTTTTTTTTAGGGTTTTAGACTTAGTACCTTCTCCTCCCCTAGAGATGGGTTGCTCAGGATTTGGGAAAGATGAACTCTGTCAGAGTACATAGATCTTGATCCATTTTTGGCAGAAGGGCTCATTCCTGAGCCAATGGCAGACATGGATGCTTCCTTACCTTCAGAATCATACCTTCAGGGTGGAGAGAGTAAAAAAACAATAATGCATTAGTTACTCTAACAAATCGCATTCTCTTGTTTTAGCGGAGATAATGATCGAAAAGACATACCAAGATTTCAACTTCTTAGCTTCCGGTAAATCAGGATTCACCACCACATTGCTTCTGCTGATAGTGGACAATGAAACGCCTACAGAAGTCGTTTCTTATCAGCAACAAGAATAAGGAAGTTTGATTTCAAGCATTGCTTGTCCATAGATGTCCAGAATTACCTTGAAAGTCCCCAACTCTTAGGGACTTAATCGCAACTACAGGTGATTCGTCAGCCATGTCTAGAAGTTCTTGTCCTATCCCAGTTGCCAGAGCATTCCAAAGGGACACGACAACAGTTTTCTTTGACTCGTCAGCCACGGTTATATCCCTCTTGGGAATCATCTCATTGTCATTCTTCCTTCTAATACTCATTGTTGGAGAAACACTTTGAACAACACCGATAACATCTGTAGAAAAAAACCCGCATTGGAAAGATCATTATCATTCTGAATCAATCTCTATATTACCTGCAAGAAGAGAAGTTTATGGGAAAGAAAAACACTTACCAACAAGTTCCTTCTGATTAACATATGCACCCAACTCATCAATGGGTACAAAATTAAATTTTGTCTCGGGTATAAACGTTTCTTCATTACTTGCTTCTTCGACTTGAGAATTATCATTTAGGGTCATCTCATAATCATTCTGAACTGTCTTGAACTGCTTGTTAGCAAGTTTAAGTGTCCCCCTTGAGATATAATAGACCTTTCCCAGGTCAAATCTATCGTAAAACCTCTTTGCAGCTTCATTGAACATGGTGGCCTGAATCTGAGTTCCCTGAATTTTCCCAAAATATAATCAGTTACACCCACCAATAGTAAATATCAATCTTGAAAGGAGAAAGTTCTTGGAAGGAAAGTGGTCTTACTTCTTCATCAGTTAGCTCCACATTAAAGACACACCCCTCTCCTCTAGCGTTCCTGTAAGTTCTCATGACTCCTTTGTTTGTGACACGGACCTTAATGGTCCAATTTCCTTGGTAAGGGTTCAACGACACAAGAGGATGAACCCTCCTCGTCATGGCCATTCTTGCAGCCGGTGCTGCACTGAACAATCCAAATACGATACATATCGATCGCAACCATTTTTTCTAGAAAAAAGGACAGAAGGGCATACAACACAAAAAGATTGCTTACTTTCCACGTTGTTCATTGATAATCTGAGAGGCTGATTTGGCAACAAATTCTTGCTTTGGTTTCAACATCATTCCAGTGGAAGTTTCTGTTTTGACCTCATTTCCTGCATCGGCCAGTTGTTTCGGCTTTATGGCAACACTTGAGCCTTCTGTCTTAATGTTGTATTTAATCTCTGATTCAAGAGCTGAAGCAACGGCTTCACATTTTGTCACAAGCAGATATCTGAAGGGAGAGAATCAAATAAGAAGAGAAAACCAATAAAGCTATCAAGGAATAAAATGATTAGTTAGTTCATGAAAAAGGCAAACGAGGAGCTCACTTCTCAGATTTGCTCGGGATATCATTGACGGTATAATCAAGCAGACGGATTAGACCGAGATTTTGGATCTTCCCGGAGATTATATCAGATGTCAAGGTTGCTGGGAATATTGCCTTAACTTTCATCTTCCCGTCACTGGCGCTAAATCTGTGGCCCAAAAACATGTTTCAACATGGATCATCAGAATGCGGGTAATAGATTTAGAGAGCTCAACCGCTAGACAATAAGGATTAGTTCGATAATTTCCACTCCAAGCCCTAAACAAAATTATTCGTATAACAAATTCAAGTGCATCAGATCTAAAACATGCAAGAAGATACTGGCGAAAATCTAACATAACACAGATCAGTACTCAATCATTTGAGGAAGTAAAATTCGATGCTGGAAATGGGAAATCAAGCGAAGAAGCAACTTTCGAATGAATCAGACGCAACCCAGATCCTGAAATACAAAATCAATCAGCGCGCATACAAAGCTACAGCTAAAGTGAAAATCAAAGCTGACTGGTGATCCCGTGAGAAGTCAAAGGCAAATTCGGATAATAAAACATCATATCAATCATACGAATCATAAATCACGACCGATGGAAAAAGCGAGAAGCTTACGTGTATCGATTGCCGGTAGGCTTGAGATCCACAACCTGAACGACGATCTCAGGTCGATCCGAGGACGAATCAAGAGACGGGTTTGACAACACAGTGGAGATAACATCTGGGGTCAACGAGCTCTCCATCTCTCTCGATCCAAGTCTCCGACTTCTCACACAGAGTTTCTACCGAAAAGGAAAAACGAAAGATGGGAATACAGCAGAGTGAGAAAAAGCCAAGGGCTTTGTAACTATAGGATCGCGCGGGAGAGATTAAATTCGATTAGTTATTCCCGCCACGGATTAAAATTATTTTTGCCGCTTCTTGGATTCGGTCTTTTGGTCGCTACCAAACCTTCTGGCCTATCTGGAAGGTCTACGAGGAATATATGCTCTGTTTCCTTTACTCACGAATATGTTAAATTACCATCAAGGGTAATCACATATATTACAAAACTAAAAATTTATAGTGTTTCCTAAATATTAAATTATATTATATATAGATGATATGAAATTACAGATAAATTATATTTTAACAATTTTAAATAAAAAACATCCTGTTGGTTTTCTACAAAATAAGGATATAAAAACACACAATATATAATGTGTGTATTAAATGAAAATTCTAAAATTTGGAGTTGTATAATATATAAAATGTAGGATCTAGGTTCTTTTTACAATTAATAATTCCGTATCTCTATATAAAAATGAGGTTAATAAGCATAAAAGATGCAGGCTTTTCAGCCTTTTGACGAAGTCAACAGAAACCAAACTCATTGGACAGTCTCAGTTCCTCAGCTCCGGGAAGATCTGCACATATATCTTACTTGTTTCCCAGGAAACACAGTAGCAGAAATCTGGGGACTTGATAAAAACAGAGCAATTCCATGAAAGAAAGACCAAGATATATCATAACTCAACGTGAATATCATCAAACATCCTGCATTTTCACTTTTGGATTACTTGAACAACATATCTATAGCTTACCTGGATTTACGATCCTTTTAGAACATTACAAGGTTAGATGAACACTGTAGAATGAATTCTTCGAGTAGTAGCCGTGTTAAGAAGTAAGCCAGCACACCTAGCATGACTGACACAGGGAGAGCTGGCAGTGCCTTCTGATAAACCGCCAAGAGCAGCAGGGTGATGCCTAGCCCGGCTATGATCGCCAGATAACAGGCGTAAACCATCATCAGATCGTACATTGCAGCTCTGCCAACCAAAACGCTGTAGAAGATGAAGTCCCCGAGCCCTAACTTGATTGCTCCCGATGATCCTAACCCGATTCCTTCCAGAAAATTCTCAACCTGTCCTGAATTCCTGGCACCATGATCGATCAGTTGTACAGAAAGCCTTGAACTTTCAACTGGAACCATGCCCTCTTCTGCTCCTACCGATCTCGCATCGTCTAGGTTAGCGTTTCCACCAACAACTGAAGTATCTACACCACCTTGATTCGCAGTTTCGCCGTGATTTTCCCGTTGAGTTATTTGTTCTCTCCAGACCCTCCTTTGAGCCAACCCCGACTCCTCGCGGATTACCGGGCGAGCTTCATAGACCAGAGCGGGAATGTCTTCGTCCCTAGTTATAACCATCTCTACGAGGAGCCGCAATGGCCCGACAGGAAGAAGAACAGCAGCAATGTCGTACAGTGCCAGGGCGACAAGAAGGACCCAAGTTGTCCATTCCGGCAACAGCGTGAAAAAGTAAGCGACCAAGACTCCGATGGAAACCAAGTACCCTTGTGTGACGAAAATGGAGAACTTTGACATGAACACGGCCAAGACACCGACGACCGCGAAATTGATGAGAACAATCAGAAATGTGACCCAGTCGATGCGGATTCTAAAACGCTCGATCAGAAACACCAGCATTTCGCCGCCCAGGAACCCTAAAACGATGAAAGAGGAAAAACCCATGTAGAATTTCAGAAACCTAATGCATCTGAAGTAAAAGAGAAGCACCAAAATGAAGGTTGCGACGGTGACGATGGCGACGAACACGAGAGAGTTCAAAAGGGCACCGACCAATTTATCCCAGGAAGAGTCGGAATCACTCTCGGCGTAAGCTGCGGTGGCGATGGAAGAAAAAGAGGCGACGGAAGACGACGGCTCGGAGTTTAGGACACGGACAAGAAGGACGACCATGAACATGCATATGGAGACAGGAGTGACGATTCTGATGATTTCTTCGCCTAACGACTCCAGAATGCTTACGGGTCTTCGATTTTGATCCATTGGGTAGTCGAATACTTATACAATTTCAGTTCTTAGCCGGCGAAAATCTCGCTGGAAAATGAATATGTGATTGAAGGAAATATTGATTTTAAGATATGATTAGAAATAATAATGGACATAATATTATATTAAATATTGTGTATCGATCTTATTTATTTCTATTTTCTTTTTATTTCGTCTTATAGTTTTCCTATAAATATTTGAGTCATTTTCATTGTAATTTAACAAGAAGGAAGAAGAGATGTAGCAATAAAGTAATTCCGTTTATTTTCGTTTGTCTTATTTTATTTCCGCATTTTATTTTTCTACATGGTATCAGAGCCTGGTTCGATCTGCTCTATATCTTTTTTTTTCTCAATCTCTTCTTTTTTTTTAGTTTTTGGATATTCATATATCCAAATCGTTCAAATAGGAGTAAAAATCTCAAAATCAAATGAGGTGCTGTGACAAAAAGAAGTCAAACCTAAAAACTCTAAGATCAAGCGAGGTGCTATGACAAAAAGAGTTAAAGGTAGAACTTCAAAGTCAAGCGAAGTGATTTGAACATGGGTAATATTCTCTAAAAGAACTAAATTTGGTGTTTATGGATTTTTCAAAAGACAATGAAAATGTCTATGGATTTTTATCGCATTATCTTTTCAAGATTGATTTTTGCATTCTTTCAAAATCAATATTGAGGGGAATGTTGAAATAGGAAAATGAATATGTGATTGAAGGAAATATTGATTTTAAGATATGATTAGAAATAATAATGGACATAATATTATATCAAATATTGTGTATCGATTTTATTTATTTCTATTTCCTTTTTATTTCGTCTTATAGTTTTTCTATAAATATTTGAGTCATTTTCATTGTAATTTAACAAGAAGGAAAAAGAGATGTAGCAATAAAGTAATTCCGTTTATTTTCGTTTGTCTTATTTTATTTCCGCATTTTATTTTTCTACGGCCGGAACTTCCAAGATCTGACGACGGAGTTGGAGGATCCCTCGGATGATGGATACGCCAAAAACATGATGCAAAATTATTATAGAGTATTAGCAGCACACCAAAGACCATCACACAGAGGAATAAAACCTGCATAACAAATAGCATTACGGAAAGCATGAGAACATTGAGAAGCATACGGATCATATGAGGAGCGTATTGCATAACAGAAGAATATTCCTTTTGTCATTACGTACAAGCTTATGTTTATATTTATGGAAGTCTATATAAGAACCATAAATAAGCACAGATAAATTTTGGCTTCAATCTTCTTCCTCTGTCCTTTCATCCCATGCGGCCATGCCTCTTCTTCAGTATTGCTGATAACAGTTGAAATAGAGCCCCAAAATTTCTCATTACTTTCTTGTGTATTAACCCAAAACCCAAACTAATCCCGAATTGATTCCGTCCAGACTAATCCTAGAGTCGGAGTCGGAGTTGGATAGATGATTTGGAATATACACTTTCTTCCCAAATTTGAAGTTCGAATTCGGATCGGAACAGACGTTTTGCACTAAGTTTCACCGGTTAAACTACCAAATTTGGTTCGATTTGTTGGTACTGTGTATTTAAAGCCACACATTATATATATATATATATATATATTATATATATATATATATATGCAACTATCCTTTTCAAGATTGAAAATTAGAATAAATATGGGATTAGACGTCAAAAGTTTCTCAATACCATGAAATCTGATATGGATAAAATTGGATGGGAACATACGAGAGTTTGGGCTTCCGTTGGAAATAAATACGAGTCTTTCGTAACAAGGTGAGACGACTGTAAGTCACAAAATCGTACAGGGCATCCAATGAATACACTACACGTGTCGGTTAGAAATATGTTTTCAACGGACAAGATTACCCAAGTATACAATGTACGGTCAGGATCGTCACAAGCTCGCTACATAAAACCCTGCCTCGAGTTATAGGGTTTTAGTCAGAGCCCAGGAGCGAGAGGAAGAGAAAGTGCAGAGGTAATCTTCGACGTTCATTTCGTTCTCGTAAACCCTAGAAATCGGTTTATATTTCTACGAATTTTCTGCTTCTCTGCTTCTTCTTCTCGCAGATGAACTAATTTTGCCGCCCTTTTCGGATTTTGATTGCTCTTGGTCGAGGTGTGGTCATTTCCTTGTTGCTGCCTCTTCTGCTCTTTTTACGGGTTCCATGTTACGGTTTGAGTGTGTTGTGCTCTGGCCGTGTGTTTACGGTTTTAGTTTTTTTTTCTCTGGTTTTTTATTCTGAAATCCTGTTTGGTTAGTGAGAAAGTGACGTCGTGGAATCGATGAAAGGTTGCGGGATGCAAAGTTTGTCTCTAGGTTGGCCAGTTTCAAAAAGAGCTGCTCTTTGATACCTTTTTCTCGAGAAGAACAAGGTCGTTGATGAGTTGTTTTTTTTGTTCCAGGTGTTGTTTCTACAGAAGTTCTGGTCTTTTGGATTTTGAAATCAGGTTATAGAAAATCAGCAATGGCTTTCTTCAGTAAATTCGGAAACATACTGAAGCAGACAGCGAGCAAGCAGCTGAATGGCCAAAGCTCTTTACCAAGCCCATCGATTTTCCAAGTGATAAGGTGCATGTCATCTTCAAAGCTCTTTGTAGGAGGTGGGTCGGGCTGGCCATGAGTTTTCACTTGCTGTTTGCATAATTTTTTTTCACTAACTTCTCTGGCCTGCTTCAGGTATCTCCTATAACACAGATGACCAAAGCTTGAGAGAAGCCTTCAGTAGACATGGTGAAGTCCTCGAAGGTAACTAGCCTTTTCAGACAACTTCCTAGTATTCTGGAAAGTAGGAACTTGATTTCCTGCCTATGTCATGTCATTTTAAGCCGGGTGCAATACCGGAAGGTGCTGAAC